AACTTTTTAGTTGCAATGAATATTATTATTATTATTTTCTGTTACTTTCAAATAGAAATTGTTGTTTCAGACCAGTTAGTTGAAACCACTGAATTACATACACGCCATATATTGTCACACGTATTGTCACCACATATTTACTTTTGTATAAAATATTTTAATGTCTTTATCACAGCATCTTATGAAAAAAATGATATAAAACCTCAAACTTAACTATAAAAAATGTCTACTTTTGCCTTTTTCGATAATATAAAAAACAAATTTAAACTTCATATACATTTTTCATTTGTGTAAAATGAAATGTATCATCCACCTTACCATTGACTGTTTCTCTGCAGTAGACATTTGTGTATAATTTCTCCTCATCAAAGGCCACAAAAATTCCCTACAACAAATATAAATGATTTGCACAGACCTTCAAGTACACTTTGTGAAAGGAAATGTTTTTTAAAGTTGTAAGACATTTTATGGAAAGCTGTTACATATGGCATCAGGACACTATCAACTGGATCTCTCCTCTTCCTGCGATGAATTTATAATGATCATTTTAAAAGTGAACAATGTGCTGAGAATTTCAAAATATGATAAGAAGATATTATATTACAGTGAAATTTTTTATTTCATTTGACTTTTAAATATTTCATAAATCTATGCATTTTAAAAGATAAAATAAAAAGGATTAAACATCTGCAGGTAATGTATCTATACCTTGTCACTTAACCAATTTTCCCACAAGATGCCTTTGGTTGTTGGTGAGAAATCTGGTATTTCTACCACCTGGTCATTTACCTAGAATAAAAAAATTTTGTAAGGAAAATTACTCCTGAGAATAAGTAAAAAGTTCAATTAGCGTTTTCTATACTGAAAACTGAAGTGCCATTTCAGACAAACTTTTGCATATGTTCTTATCTAGACTAAGTTGCCACCTCGTTTCATTTCAATCTGAATAATTCATTTTTTTATTTCAATTTAAGCAAAACTTGTAGGAAGCCAACATGCTGGACATCAAAACTGCATCATCTCTTCTTGTTTTTCATAAAACCTTGTAGACATATAATCACATAGATAGGGGCCATTAGCTAGTAAACAGATAAGATAAACTGCTCCCCACCATGCAACTTTCACAGTTCAGTGGGACATTATCATCAATTTCCAGATACAACTTACAGGGTTGTAAACAAAGCCATCACTCTTATCATCAATGAAGATGATTCTAGTTCCAGTGGGATCCACAAATATCTTCCTGATTCCCACCATGTGTCTGTACTCATTCACATACTGCCAGTCCTCAATGAAGAAGTAGTGGAGGCCCCCTGACTGAAATAACAGAAGACTCTAAGCTGGTATTTTATGGACATTTAATACCGTATTTGAGCTTTACCCTACAGATTGTGATTATAAATATCGACACATTATTTTTATACTCTGTTTAACAATTGGTAGTTTTAAATTTGGCACAACATTATCTCCCAAAGTTCATTTTAAATATAGTAAGTGGAGAAAACACTTGCAAGTGATTTGCCTAAGAGGCAGTTAAAATCTGGCTCTAACTGGCTAAAAGGGCTGTTACTCTCCTGGTTTCTTAACTTTGAGAGACAGTCAAATGAAAGCATTCAAGTCTTTTCTATTTTCTATGTTATTCTTTGAAGAATTAGTGGAGCCCACCGAGTACTTATTTAAAATTGATATCTTAGCAACTGAATCATAAAATAACTAAATCTACATCTTGACAACAAAACGACCACTTGCTGTACAAAAGCAGATGTCAAATATGACTTGTGACAAAGTGATACACATACTCAAGCAAACTGACCATTGTAAATTGACCACTTATGTAAAAAGAAGAGTTAATACAAGTGCCTGATAAAGAAAAAACATGTCTCTGCACTGCATGTAATATTGACTAGCCCCATCTTTAACATACATTTAAAAAAAGGATTGATAAAAAGCCACTGTGACTGTGTGATTTTATCTGAAGACTACTTGATGTGACAAAAGATGCCAAGAAAATTATGAAAATTAACAGAAAAGAACAAGACAGAAAAGCAATAAACCTTTTCCAGATTATACTTTACACAAAAATTAATATAAAAATAATTACCTCTCCCTTATTTTTCTGAGGAGGAGTAGGAAAAGACTTAAATATGTGGCATGGAAAGCATGTTACATCCCAATTAAAAATTCTTTGTAAATACCCCATATGGTTTTTGAACTCGAAATTCATCAGATGAACTACTGGTATTCTTTTCATCTAAAATTACAACTTTCTTTTTGTTAATCAAATTAAAAATTTTAAGGGCCTACTTACATCTGTCCCAAATATGAGGAATTCTGGGGTGAGGCAGTGACAGGTGATCTTGGTGTCTGCCTGGTCCTTGTCTGGGAAGAGGCGGGTCTCCCTGTCATCAGATGCACCCTGGTCACCCTCAATCTGGAACACAATCACAGGAATCTCAACTAACACAATCAAAGCAAGGGCAGCTCAAATAATGTCTCTACTCATTCAAGTTTTATTTTGTATTCACAGCAGAAGTTGTAGTTTAAATACAGTGTGTGTGTGTGTGTGTGTGTGTGTGTGTGTGTGTGTGTGTGTGTGTGTGTGTGTGTGTGTGTGTGTGTGTGTGTGTGTGTGTGTGTGTGTGTGTGTGTCAATGAGCTCGTATTATAACATTTCAAATTGGTTACAAAAAATCATACTGGCTTATTCATCATCAAGGCATAAATTTGCAGAATAAATGCCCCTAATTTTACAACTTAGTCTCTGTCTCCATAAAAGATAATTTCTTACCATGTGTAACTGCACTTTTCCCTCAAACCTGACAGCAGCATAGTCTGCATTCATCTTCAGAGACTGCACAGTGCCCAGGTATTCTCTGTCCTTTAACTTCTCAGGGGGAGCCCCAACTGGTAGAAGACAAACATATAAAGACATACTTTATAAATAAATAAAATAATATTAAAATGTCTAAAACAAGAATAAATGTATGTCCTAGTAATTTGTGAATAACAACAAAATATTCAATTTGTTCAACATGTCCAGGTTATCAAGTAGTATCTTAGTCTATCTAAATTATCATTATTATTGCTGTTGAATGTTTTTACCTTCACAATCCAAGACATAAAACCATGCCCTGTTAATACCTTCACAATCCAAGGCATAAAACCATGCCCTGTTATTACCTTCACAATCCAAGACATAAAACCATGCCCTGTTATTACCTTCACAATCCAAGACATAAAACCATGCCCTGTTATTACCTTCACAATCCAAGACATAAAACCATGCCCTGTTATTACCTTCACAATCCAAGACATAAAACCATGCCCTGTTATTACCTTCACAATCCAAGACATAAAACCATGCCCTGTTATTACCTTCACAATCCAAGACATAAAACCATGCCCTGTTATTACCTTCACAATCCAAGACATAAAACCATGCCCTGTTATTACCTTCACAATCCAAGACATAAAACCATGCCCTGTTATTACCTTCACAATCCAAGACATAAAACCATGCCCTGTTATTACCTTCACAATCCAAGACATAAAACCATGCCCTGTTATTACCTTCACAATCCAAGACATAAAACCATGCCCTGTTATTACCTTCACAATCCAAGACATAAAACCATGCCCTGTTATTACCTTCACAATCCAAGACATAAAACCATGCCCTGTTATTACCTTCACAATCCAAGACATAAAACCATGCCCTGTTATTACCTTCACAATCCAAGACATAAAACCATGCCCTGTTATTACCTTCACAATCCAAGACATAAAACCATGCCCTGTTATTACCTTCACAATCCAAGACATAAAACCATGCCCTGTTATTACCTTCACAATCCAAGACATAAAACCATGCCCTGTTATTACCTTCACAATCCAAGACATAAAACCATGCCCTGTTATTACCTTCACAATCCAAGACATAAAACCATGCCCTGTTATTACCTTCACAATCCAAGACATAAAACCATGCCCTGTTATTACCTTCACAATCCAAGACATAAAACCATGCCCTGTTATTACCTTCACAATCCAAGACATAAAACCATGCCCTGTTATTACCTTCACAATCCAAGACATAAAACCATGCCCTGTTATTACCTTCACAATCCAAGACATAAAACCATGCCCTGTTATTACCTTCACAATCCAAGGCATAAAACCATGCCCTGTTATTACCTTCACAATCCAAGGCATAAAACCATGCCCTGTTATTACCTTCACAATCCAAGGCATAAAACCATGCCCTGTTATTCATGCCCACAGCCAGGTGATAGGGTCCTAGGCCAATGAAGGCTGGCTCCACATCAGCTGCCAGCACTATAGGGGCATCCTGGAGGACAGAGAAGGTATAGCAATAAGTTTCCAAATAAAAATTTCAACTCAGTAATCCATGAAAGAAAATGGAACAAAAAGCTACTTGCTGACTCCACAATAAAATATGCACATGCTCAAGAATTCAACTTACATCAAAAAAATAAAATCAAACTCACTGCATCACTTCAGAATCTAGATATGCCTTAAAGTCAGCATAAACAACATTAAACACAATATCTCTCATTTTTCAACACAACGAAAATGGCTTGTTTAAATCGTGACCCAACAAACTTTCAACTTATGCATAACATCTACTAATATCAGGCACATTTTCAAAAATGGTCAGTAACTTCGGCGAGAGATTCATCTGATTAAGTTACACATTCACACACCCACACGTATAAGTGCTTATCTATACAAATCTGTAAAATATTACTCACCCCGGACACATTATCCTGTACTGTCACCTCCAGCAGAGAAGTCAGGTAAGCCAGCCTGGTGTTATATGTATCAAACACCATGGGCAGCTTGGTCAGGTAAACATGGAGACTGCCCGCCTTGGTGGACACGGCCAGGAGCTGACCATCATCTGTCCAGTTAATTTGGCCCAGTTGACGCTCATCGTCCAGGTTCAGAATAGCATAGGTTTCCTTCAGGTCCGATAGTTCATGGATCTTCACACTGAAGATACACACATGGGCATGTATTATATATAATGGCAATTATACGAATTTTATCTTTTTGTAGAAAAGAAGCAGAAAATATATGTTCTTGGATTCAACTGATGGAGCTTTGAGTTCAATTGTTAAAAGATTAAAAAATACTTGTAATCTGCTTTGAGAATCAGGTACAAAATATTTAAAACTAATAAGAGAGACACTCCAAATAAACAAGATAAGACATTATTGAACATTTTTGCCAAGAGGAAAAAAATCAACATCCTCATCTACTCACATGTTGTCTCCACAAGAAGCAGCTTTGTTCAGGGACAGTGTGATGGCTATGGAGGTTAGGTTGTCTTTGTGGTTACGAGCCTGGAACAGCTCCTGGTAGAAATATTAATTAATGAATTTTACAATAGTTTAGTTCACGTTTAATAAATGAATATTTTAAAAAGTTCTTCAAATTTGTTGTCAAAGAAAAGAATTCAATGTGATTACTGCAGTGTAATTATTAACTTCAACATGTTTTTATGGCAAAATTACATATAAAGTTATCATCAAAATATTTAGACTAAATACAGCTAACAGATTCATTATTTATGACCATGGGGACAGTATAAATTCAGTCAAACATTAAACCCAGTGATTGTTCTAAGTATACAGTTAAAAAAATACCAATGAACAAGAAAACTGCATTACCACCTGCTAGCATAGGATGTGAAAAATGATATTTACCAAAATTCTGTCTCTGCGTAACAAAGTGTTAACTGAAATAAGCTCTACCTACCTGTCCAATCTCCTTCATATGTGTGGAGATAACTACAAAGAAACCCTGTGAGAAACCAATCATGATGTAGCCATCACCATACCTGAAAGAGTTTTGAAGTCATCTTAAAACACATCAGATAGGTCAACTGAATACCATGAATCCTAATAAAAAAGTTTGATAAAGGGCAACACTATGTGATGTCAGGACTTCCATTTTTAATGCAACAAAAGCATTTCAACATATTAAATATCAATAGTGATGCAATACAACCTTGAATAATATTCCAATACATCTGTTCTAACAATTTTATTCAAGAGGGATATGCTTATATGTCACTTTCAATTCTTATACATCCTCACCATTTATAGGCCACAATGCTTCCATATCTCTGCTGAAATGCCAGCTCTATGGGATTCTCTGGATCATTGATGTTGTATAAATACAAAGTCTTCCTGCCAATTACTATGCTAACCTGTAATATAATAACCCAAATTATGAAAGCTGAATTAGCCCCACCCCATTCTTTCTCCCATCAAGCTCTTTTATTATGATGGGAATCATACCAGACAGCCTAAATCATGGCTCTTGACACCATGTGATGTCGTAAGTGACTATAAAACATGCATGATTCTGAGCAGTGGGTGGCTTTCACTTTTTTGTAAACTTTTTGCTTCACTATTTAGCACATAGTATATGGTACATATCTGACTGTTGAGGTAATGAATTATATGAATGTCCTGTCACCCTTTCCTTGCTTAAAATTGCTTGTACTTTTGGATGTAATGATCAAGAAACTTTTCAGCACTTTCAGCTTACATTATTGCTCCAATTGCTCTCCAGGGACAAGTTAGGAAATATTAGTGATAAAAACCTACCGTGTTATCCCCCATCTGACTCCTTTCATCCCCCTTCATCTCAGAGAACTGGATGTCACTGGGCTCAGCGCGGAGGTTGGTCTGGCGTATGGTGTCCCCCTCAGCGTTACTGATGGTCAACGTGTTGTCCTGGCTGCCCAGGGCCAGCAGGTTCTGACTGCTCCAGGCCCCACACGTGATCTTCTTAGTGTGCTTGCCCAGGATGGGGATTTTTCTGAAACCATATAAAGATATCAGCTACGTTTGCCAAGATGTGTCAGATTAACTCAGGGATGAGACTTCCACTTAGTGAAAAGGTCAGAAAATATGGCGTGGGGTCAGGCCAATGATATTTTTGGCTCCCCAAGAGTAGTAAATCTGCTTATAGTCAGAAAAATCTTATCCCTGTTAACTATCAGTATTAAACTTTCAAATGAATGATATTTTTCACTAAAACAAAAGTCCCAGTGTACTTGATGCTGTTGTTTAAAGGTACATACGAACCGAGCATCGGTGGAGCCTGGATTCCCAGTAACACATGTAAACCGCTTCTACTAGATTCTTATATGACTCAAATAAATTTGACATGCCAAGGGAAAAACTGAATAGATCACTCGATGAGCCATAAAAGACCTTTAGACTGCTCCTTTCTTTAAATTTATGGTTGTAAATTTAACCTACTTTCGTGACCTACTTTCTTGCCCCATTGACATACAGCTTAGAATGCCAGCAGAAAAATCCATTCAAACATCATTTTCGGGTAAAATTATACAATGCCTTTTGGTAATTCTCTTAGTTATACTACTTGAAACTATATGCTGGCATTTGGTTGGTTTCTGTGACAAAAAATTGACTTTGTATGCATCTTTAAGGATTACCGGATATCTTGAGATTTTGCATCTTATTGTGATGCCTCACCTTGATGTCTGATGATTGTATATCATCAAGTTTCCTTTGGCCGTTCCTATGGACAGCTGTTGACCTGTCTTTGACCACAGCAGGAAGGTTAGACTGTCCCTAGAAAAGTATAAGACATTTCCCGTCTTTTAAGTCATTTCAATTATAAAGAACATTAAAATGCCATTCCACTTTCTATAAACATATACATAACTAATAATAACATTCTGGACACCAATACTTTCAACAAATCACAATTTAATTATCTTTAAATTATATGCAAAGAAGTAACAGCCAGTAACTTGAATGATTAATCAAATAACATTTAAGTTTTCAAAATAATGTATCATATTTTAATTATCAGTTTTTCCTGTATTTTAGACTGTTAAGTCTATTGAACATATTTTGAATATAGACTCTAAATATTAATAAGAAGAAGAAGAGGAAGAAGAAGAAGAGGAAATAAATATAACTAGATGGTTGCCTATAAACCCACCTGAGTCCACTATCCAGCTGTGACAGTCTCGCTGAATTGGCGTTCCACAGGAACACAACACCCGTCTTGTCATTAATGATAGCAAGGACGTCACCATCCACATCCCAGCCAAACCCAGTACACAAACTTCAATGAAATAGAAAAGGCAAGAATGTCAGTGATCTTATGTGAATCTGAGCTTAATGAAGAAATGCATCTAGAACTTCATACAGGCAGAGATTTTTAATGTGAAAAAAATTTTTTGTCTTACATTTTTAGAAATATAAAATATAAATGTGGCTATTATTTTTCATCATTATCCCTCTAACAACTCTCTCTCCCTTTAAAAATTACTTTTAAATTGACTAATTACCCAGGGAGGTTTATTTCTTCTCTAAGTTCTCCATGACGGTCAAAGATCCTCACATTGTGATCAAATCTGAAATAATCATTTGACAATTTATAAAAGCAAGAATCAATCATACAGACAAAAGCTGAAATGGCAGATTTAGTGGCTTAATTAATGGCTTAATTATGTGAATATGGAACCATTCATTCAATAACTTCCTAATATTTTTTTCTATTTTACGAATAAATAAATAAATATGCTTTACTAGATAGAATATCTAGTTAATGAATCTTCTTTTATACTGTATTGCTTTCTAGAATATAATACAGAATAATATTATAACAAGCAAGATTTGCCATGCAAGCCATATTTTACTCTAGAACTATTTTAATTACCCTGTAGTGGCCAAATAATTCCCCAAAGACCTCTGCCATTGGTAAAATATTCCCCCTGGTCCATGAGTCTTCTCATTCAGGGTAAATACTCGCTGAAATTAAAACTGAAGAATATAAAATGGACAAAACAAATGCAGATCGCCTCCTGAACTTGTACAAGTCAGTCGTTAATTTTCAATTTTTATTTTCATTCACTTAATGGAGTAGGTTTAGTCATCTAAATGTCTCTTTCATTCAAATAAATTAATTTTGCAATTTTACTTACTATTTTTTTTTCATGTTTATGCCTGAAATGACTTCAGCTCTTGTTAACTTAGATCTAAATGGATTTGAAGTTTCCAGTAAAACAGCAAAAAAGTGAATTCCCAAAGTAATATGAAAAGCAGAGACATTTATCAAAGTCGCCACAAAAATGAATAAAAAATAAAATGAAAAAAATTAACAAAGACTTATGATCATAAGTTGGAAAGGAGCACATTGCACTTGTTAAACTGCAGCATACTGCATAAAGATTACAATTACCGTACGTCCTCTGTGTGTGTGTGGGGGGGGGGGGACTATTTTCAACTTTTTTCTGCAGTGCGGATCTGTCACCACTTGTGTTCACTTGTATAAATAGGCCTTAGTTTGTGACTTATTTAAGTGAGTGCTTAAAACTTAATTCACTTTTTAATTATCAGATTGGAAACCCTAAGTTATCGCATTTGCCATTTGATTTGGCTTTGGGTTTGAAGGGCCGGTCACATTACTTGACCTGCAAATGCATAAATAAAAACCTTAACGTTGCTACACTTTCTGCATAATAGCACTTCAGTTCACTTACCTTCATATTCAAATGGTTAACTAAATGAAATCTCTCGGTTCTTGTCTTAAAATGTCAAAGCATTATTCTCCCAGCAACCAAAACAATTTTCGAAGAGGAATTTTTCGCGCATACTCAGTCCAATATTTCCCACAAACCATTGCAGTAATTGCTATTTACCGAACAATAGCCTCGTTATGATTCAAATCATTAATGACGTAAAGTAGAGCAAAAAAGAGACTACAACCTGCACATATTAGGAGCAAGGGGATAACTGGGGGGAGAGGGGGGGGGGAGATTATAGGAGAAGGGTGTTCAAGTACTAAAAGTCAGTTAGGTAAAAATACGTAGCTGATGGGTAATATTATAAAAAGAAAAAAGTGCACTCACTTATGTTTGCTTATAGAAATTCAGGCTGAAACTTTGATTAGATCTTTGTAGATTAGTGAGCCAACAGATGTCAAGTCATGTTCACATTTTAGTGCTCAATAAACATTATTATTATTATTATTATTATTGTTATGTTCTTCATGTGCCATTTTGAGGAGCATTGGAACACAAAGCAATTTTCATTGGCCCCTGCTCTTGTTCTGCAAATGACATCTTCCAAAGAAAAGTGAGCTTAATATTCATCATGGATCAAAACTAAGTATACAATATGTCAATTATGTATGTTTCAAAGGAACTAAATCAAACTCAGTTTTGTTAAATAAGATATATATTACAATTCAACTTCGTATTACTGCACTACAATATCATTATAATATATTGTACTAGTATCACAGCCTCACAGCTCTGTACATAGGGTTAAAAGATAAGTATTTTCTGCAATAATTACACTTTTGAATGTCTAAAATTTTAGAGCATATTAGTTAATAGTACATCATACATGCTAGGTTTATTTAATTATTAATATTACAGGGAGCCACAATCAATTCTAGCCTCACAACAAACTATGATTTAACTATCTAAAAATATTAATTTACTCAACATTCACTCATTGCAGTACAGTCTTTGGTGTCTTACTTTCATTCGTCAAATATTGTATAAATTTTCATTGTGGATTCAAACAATGTGAGAATTTTTATCTTTTTTCAGCAGTACACATTTTCTCAAGTGTAAACTTTATCATCTTTGGTGCAATTTTTACAATAACATGGTTAATCATTTTAAATCAAAAATATTTTAAGCAGTTCATAATCTATGTTCCTCCTGTAAAGTCATAACAGGTTTTCAAACACGTTAGCCAACTCTGGTAATTGAGCTCTCATAAATTCTTAAAGACAATATGAAGGTAAATTATGAAAGCATACAAATATTACCAATCAAGATATCAAGATACCAATTTCACCAAGGCCAACGTAACTCAATTTGTACTGTATTTTTACATTAGTAAAGAAAATACTCAATACATAACAGTCACGTTGGCAGATTACTATAAAGTATCAAATTTTCTTCTTATCTTGACAGTGAAAATGGTTATTTGCAAGCAATGTATCCTTGGAAAAAATCAGAGGAAAAAATGACTTTTTACACTTAAAAAAATTAGATTACACGCCTTGTACCACTCTGCTGCATAACAAGGTGATGCAATCTATTTGAATTAGTTACAAAAATATAAAACATTGACAATATCTGTTGTGCTGATGACAGTATGTACATGCACTCCCACTGGTGAATCTCTACAATTATGTTTCACTTCCTTTTATTACAAAAATCACAGACTGGAAGAAAAGACGTAGATGGAGAGCGTCAAGATGTACTTATGAAGCCGAAAAAAAAAAAAAAGTCTAATAAGTGAAGGTTCATCCTGTTTGCTAATTATGCATATCTCAGAATGATTTGTTAACTATGCATACTTACAGAATAAAGCAAATATTATATAAGACAGACTAAATTTGAATTGACCATTTGGAATTCAAATCATCTTTCATAAATAGAGATGAATAAAGCATCAATTAACAAGTTAACCATGTCACAAATTATATGCATCACAAAGGGACTTAAATGAAAATGAGCATTTTAAAACACACAAATTACTATGATTAATGTTAGCTCAAACTGCCATGAATGATATGTACAAATGAAAACATGTGTCCAGCACACGCATTGGTCTAAAATCAACGGTTGTCATGGCTGCGGTGCTACATGACCAATGAGGTAAATGTTATCGTACAAATGACCTGCAAAGTCGTCGTTGATGTGAACAGCACGTCTTGTGTTCCGTATAAATTCGCGCTTTGACATTTTGTTCTTGACGCTAGGGCTGCAGAGATCCACAGACAACAGAATCAAAGAGAAACAAACCACGAAAACAACATCTGAAATAAAGAATACAAAATGTTTAATATCAGATATATTAGATAAGAAAATATAAAACTGACCATCAGGCAGTTTGAAGCATCATCTGAAATTTTAAATTTACTTTAAAACTTTCAATCTTGCATACTTCTCTTGCCTTAGTAGTGCTCAATAATAAATGTAATAGCAAGAGATCTGAGACCTTTCTAAATACTACAGGAATCAAGATACAAAGGAGCTGGAAAGATTGTAGACTGAATCTATTATCTCCCATAGAAAGCAGCCATACTCCACCTTTGGAGAGCCCCAGGTCAGGATTACAGGTACAGAATCTCTCAGAAAACTTGTCCACCAGCTGGCTCAGGTAGTCTCCTCTCTCCTCAGGAGCATGGATCTCACCAAAGAACCTACGTAGAGCATTTGGAAGGAACTGGTTTTCATAGTTCTGTAGCTGCACTAAGATGTCTAAAATGTCTTGCCTGGAAAGTAAAACAAATTTAAATTCTCTATTACTTTTTCTACAGGTGGCAAAAATGCAGAGTGTATGTTACAGCATTCAAACAAATTTCTTCATGAGACGTAAATTTATTGTAAAATAGTGTTAAAGCACTAACAAATTATAATTACACAAAAATATTCTGGAGTTTTCTTTTTAGTAGTTTGAATTTCAAAACACACCCCCTAAAAGGAATCAAGCACCTTTTTCGAGAACTAAGTATTTTATAGAACCCATACTAAACTGTCAATGAGTAAAATGACGATAAAATGTTTTCCATACCTATTTTTTAAAAACTCTCTCTTCTGGATACTCTGTAGCCTCTTTGTTGAGTGTAAAAATCTAGCAATTTCCTTAGGGTTGTCTTCTACCAGCATGTTGTTTAAAAAATAGTCCATACCCTGAAAGGAATATACGTTCAATAAAAATCATTTTTAAATAAATTTAAATAATTTAAATGACGTATAAACTTATAAAAAACATAAAGTTATGGTCTTTGAAAAATGTACCAACTGAAGAGAGGGTTAAATGCCTTTAACTCAGGACAAATGACACTTTGCTCTGCATCAAAGAAAATTAGACAAAGCTTTTCAAACTTACCAGCCTTGCATTAGCGTTAAAGGTTAAGCTGCCCTCATCCAGCTTCAAGTACAATTTGCGATAAGAAAAACCTGGCTCATGGCGTCGTTTGTAGGCACTGACGTAGCCCCAGTTGCTGTGACACAAGCTGTAAAGAAGCAGATACAAAGATGAGTGGTAGTAACTGTTTTACTGGCAAATGCCTAAAGTGCCATGAGTGATCAAGAGCATGACATGTTCTGCACATTTCGCAATTTCCCTTATAACCATTTTCTGCACAACACTAGCTATACATTTTGTTTCTGCCACACATATTTATAGGTGTCTGTACTCCACTCTCAATGAGCCTCAGTGAGCACACACACACAGATATATCTATTATCTATTTGAATATCTATTCAAAACAAAACATCATCCAAAGATTATCATCAGTGGCCAGGCTCACATAACACATACACATACCCATGTACAAACATCTATTCTCAAAACAATACATCATCCAAACATTTGCAGTGGCCAAACTCACATAACACACACACACACACACACATGCTTTCAATTCAATCCATACCTGATCCAAAGAATATGATCATCAGCCAAGCTCACATATACAAACACACACACACACACTATCAATTCAAAACCATACCTCATCCAGAGTATATCATCATTGGCCAAGCTCTGCCACACACACACACACACACACACACAC